ACGACCCGAGCTAAGGTTTATATTAGTTTACTAATTTATTAGTAAAATTGAGACAAGTTGCTGATTTGTCAAGTTGGTAAGACTTGACATTTATTTTTAAGTGTGGATTCGTTAGACTTTAAAGAAACTACGGGTTTCCGTTAATTAATTATATGCATATTCCTTTTTATAATATGTGTTTATTAACAATATTCAAATTAAACGTTACATTTACTTACAATTTTGAAGTTTGTCGATGATGAAATTACAGAATGAGCGGCAACCGGTAATACGTTGTAATGCTGCAGGTTGCAATATTTTATAAGATTTTCAGTTCGTTTTTAGACACTTTTAACACTAAAAACAACTATTTTAACAGTCAATTTAACAACTCTAAGTATTTTTTTTTGACACTGGACCTTAATACCAAAAGAAAACTTGTTTTCTTAGCGTTTCGAAAGAACTTGCACTAATTTTAATAAAATAGAAAGAGAATATTAAAATGAACTGTTATACGACGAAAGTATTAATTTAAATTGTTGAACCCTAGTGCAATTTATCCCTTACAAGAAAACAAGTCTTCTTAAGTTTTATCACTGATTCTAACAATACAATTAAACAATCGAAGGGCCGACTCAACGATACCGTTCGGGCTGAAACTCACCGGAGTATTTGACATTTTTGCTGTAAGAACAGGGGTCTATATAGTAGTTAAAAGCTACTTGATTGGGGATGATTTTGCTTAAAAGGCACGCAATCGGGACAAAATCTAGAAGTCACGTAGTCACGTATTCTGGCCGATTTCTAGAAAGCACGTATTTAGTATTAATTTCGTTTATAACAATTACTAGCATCTATTATTAATATAGACAAGTAATATGACACTCGCCTTTTAATTAATTAGTCATGCGTTTTATACTTATTTTCTATGTTTCATCTAAGTCAAGAACAATATTTGAATCTCTAGTCTAGTGTTTAATTTGAGAAGCTTCATATAGTCATAACACTTGTCGCGATTCATGATAAGTGAACGACGGAAGATTAATTACCATGAGAGTAGGTAATCAACCGGCCGCCGACCACTTATCGCACCGCTCTAGATCACGGTCGATTATAACTTTAATTATCTTAGGTGGTAACTTATTCGTGCAACTTACTAATTTATCTACAGGGTTTCTATGTTCATTCCATATCCCTTTAACACCCAGGCATAACTGGACGGTTAAAAAAACGTAAGTGTAACGTTATGCATAGTTTTCGGGGTCGCTGATTACAAATCTGATATCAGAATTATAAAATTTTTTAAATTCAAAATGGCGTATCAAATATGGCAAGCAACTTTTTTACAGATTGATCGGATTGGCTTGAAAATTGTTACTCGGGAGTTTTTGAGGTCGATGATTACGAATATGACATCATTTTTTAAAAATTCAAAATGGCGGATCCAAGATGGCGGACGATTTTTTTTAATCGTTTAGTTTTACCAGAAACTTGTTACTCGGGGGTTTTCAGGGTCGCTGAATACGATTCCGGTGTTATATTTTTAAAATTCAAAATGGCGGATCCAATATGGCGGACTTTTTTTTTAAAATCGTTTTGTTTCACCAGAAACTTGTTACTCTGGGGTTTTCGGGGTCGCTGATTACGAATCCAGTTAGAGTAGAAAGAAACAAGTCCATCTACTGACAGAAATAAAAATAACCGATGGTATAGCTCGGTTGGTGGAATCCCGTTACTTGCGATCACAGAGGTTAAGCCACTTTGAGTGCGGTTAGTACTTGGATGGGTGACCCTCTGTGAATCGCTACAGTTTCGGTGTTTTTCACTGATGAGATATATCAAACGGGAGGTTTGATGCCGAGGTTATGTTTGTGCATTTGTGATGGCTATCCAAATGCACATTCATGACTCGACATCAATAAACCGATTGTACTCGGGAAATAGGTTTTCTGCAGTTTTCCTCTCCCCTGGCTGAATGTCCAGGCAAATGCGAGTACTACTAACCTAAGTCGGCTGCAGCCGCAAAAGTAGGGACATGGAGGAAGAGTTTGTGAGTTAAAAGAGTTTAGTATAGTGATGTTGAGGAGATTGTAAAGGCCCGAAAGGGCATACACTGCAAGCCCGATCAGCGGTCACCCGATCAGTGGTCACTTGTTTACGTCGTTTGTAGATGGGGCGGGCGAGGGGCCATAAGGGAGTCGAAAAGTTGTGGCAGTAGCGTATACATTAAAGACGCTCTGGCCCCTTAAAAAAAAATTCAGTAGTCAAGTAATGGTAACCCATCATAAAACAGTTCGTACGGTCCTATATGTTTACGCCCGATCAGCGGTCGAGCACCCCCGGAGCTGACCGCTGATCGGGCTTGCAGTGTACAATAAAATCATACTTTACTTTTTACTGCCAGAAATAAATAAATAAATACACAATCACAATTTAAAAAATTTTTAAAATATAACACTGGATTTGTAGTCAGCGACCCCGAAAACCCCCGAGTAACAAGTTTCTGGTGAAACTAAACGATTTTAAAAATGAAGCCCGCCATATTGGATCTGCCATTTTGAATTTTAAAAATATAACACCGGATTCGTATTCAGTGACCCCGAAAACCCCCAAGTAACAATTTCCAGTGAAATTAAAATGTTTAAAAATAATCGTCTGCCATCTTGGATCCGCCATTTTCAATTTTAAAAAACTGATATTATATTCGTAATCAGCGACCCTAAAAACCCCCGATTAACAAGTTTCATGCCAATCCGTTTAATTTTTACATTTGTCGTCCGCCATATTAGATCCGCCATTTTGAATTTTGAAAAACTAGCACCGGATTCGTAATCAGCGACCCCGAAAACCCCCGAGTAATAATTTTTAGGCGATTTTAAAATATTTTAAAAATTCATGATTTTTAACAATAATTTATGAATTTTTTTAAACAATAGGAATTTTTTAACATGATCTAGGTTACTTATTTTTAAAGCCCTATTCTTCCTGAAGAGAACGCACTAAATTAGACTCAAAAATATTAAGTTTCTTCAAAGATATTGAGGTTTTTGTAGGTGGGACGTATATGTCCCATGGGCGTGAAAGGGATATACATATATATATACATATGTATATATATATATATATATACATGCATAAACAATTGTTAATTATAATGCAATATTATAATTATAATTATGTTTCTTTTGATAAATTTTACAACATATAATATTTTATTTGCAATAATAACAACTATTTATAAAAATTATATATATATATATATATATATATATATATATATATATATATGTATGGAGTGTACCTTGTCACCTCCGATTTAGATAAACAGTAGACGTTGTCGCCTCATATACAACGCTGTCACCTCCGTTTTCGGAGGTGACAACGTTTTGACAATTTTTCAACGCAAATCGACTTGAAATAATGTCTAACGTGATTTGCCGAAAAAACGTTTTGAGGAGACAAGGACTATTCCGTACCTACAGTGATGACGTCTTAGTTCAGGCGTATATCACAGGCGCTAGTATCGTCATACAATGCGATACATCCTGCACGTTGTCACCTCCAGTGTATATATCGACAGTTTTAAATACAGCGTCGACGTTCTCACCTCTAAAATGTGGCAACACTGCATAAGCGTTTGACAGCGTGCTGTTCGAGTTTTCATGTTTTTGAGAAGCCAATGATGCTGGTATATCGGCATAAGCATGCAAATCGACCTTTGCCTTTTTTTAGTTTGTTTTGAACCATGACAACTTTAAAAAAAAGATAGCATCTCCATAACTTATATGTTCAGTTTTTAACATAATTAGCTGAATTCTGATATATTTCTCAGTTTTAATTGAACTTAAAATATTACATGTTTAATTGCAATTTGTTTCGTTAAATATTCCATCGTAAGATAAATAATTTCCAAAAATTGCTACGCCTCCAAAATTTACATTTTTTGCAAGTAATAGATTAAAAAACGTTTTTAATATTTTAAAAATTAATCACTACTTTTCTAACTTCAAACACTTTAAAAAATTTTTGAATTTGAAAAACAAATCAAATTAACTTTCGGCAAATTAAAATTGTAATTTAAAAATTCTCATTATTATGTTTTCATTTTTCTTGAAATTAAAGTTTTTCTTTGTTACTTAAAACTTATCAAATTGGTTTTTCCTAATTTTTTAAAGCTGAAATCCGCAACGTTTTTAAAAACAAAAAATTAATAAATTAATTTTTTATCACGTCAATTGTTCTTTAATTTTGATGTACCCAAATTTAATTAACTTAACACTTTTTTACACAAAAATTATTTCCAAATAACTTGAATTTAAATCCAAAGTGATATAAATCGTCTCATTATTTTTTTTTGTTTTTAAAAAATTTGCAAACTTCAGTCTCATACTTTCATCTTCTCAAAAAATAAATAAACTGCAATAGCAAGTGATTCTATCTCTACAAAGAAACAAAGTTTTAGTTGATAATAATGAGTTAGACAAATGTTCAATTATATTCGTAATAAATAATTCCTTTTCTTGATTTTACTTTCGTTGAATAGCTGAGGCAAAAAATGTAAAAAATATATTTCTTTAAGACCCTTTTTATATTTCCTCGAAAACTCATTCTGGCATCTTTATAACCATGAAATATTTTATAGAAAAAAATCTCACCTTTATAATAAAAATTAAAAGGTGCATGAATTACGATGGAAAGTACATGAAAAATTATTTAAAATTTATTTTATAAAAACTAAAATTTCTATAGGGTAATAAGTACAGATTTGAAAATAACGATATTACATAAATCTATAATAATAGCATGCAATTCTCGTTTACTTTAGAGTGGGAAGAATTCTTGTTTCTTAAATATGGTCCAATACAATGACCCTTCTTCCACTCTTAGGAACAGGACATTATCTCTTAATCGATTTTTAATAGTAATGTAATTACTTTTTAATGAATTGAAGAATATTTGCGTAAAGACTAATTGAAAAAGTCTAACTTGTCATTCCGTTTTGATCTGTGCGTGAAGTAAGAAGCAACAGTTATTTTCTAAATATATTTGTGAAGTGTTTAAGAAGATTACTTACACTGTAAAATGGCATCAAGAGCCGAAAAAATAGTGAACATGTGTAAGGTAAGTAATTTAGATTATTCATTTAGTTATAATTTTAATTTTTAAATTCTCAAAGGAATGTCTTTTGTGAATCAAATACATGAATTAATTCAATGTTCAAAATAAATTATTTTCTATGTTCAACTATTAAATATACCTTTAATTTAAAAACAATTCTGCACACAGAGACATATGTAATGTAATCCTAAAAAATCGTCTTTTTATACTTCTTTCATGATTCTAAACAATCTATCATATAATATTTTGTTACTACTTGTCAATATTTAAAAAAATATTAATTTTTTTAATAACTTAAACTAGCTAAAAAAATAAATAAATAAAAAGTAAAAATAAATAAAAAATAAAAACTAACATTAAAAATACTTCAATTGACCTATTTTTAATATATATTGTGCAGAAATTACGAATTAATTGGAATTTTGAAAACCAAAAATTGTGAAAAAATTCATTTTCACATTTCTTTTGTTTAAAAACTATTGTGTAACTACTAACTATTATAACCATCTCATGGATTACATAAAAAATACATTTATTGGAAAAAAATTGATTATTTTAAACTTTTTTATCAAAAGTAATTTTTATATTTCAATTATTATTATCTCTACCAGAGAAAAATAACGACGTTTAACGTCTCACGTTCAATTTACTCAATAATTAAATCCTAATGTTCACATTCCATATGTATTTCTAAAGTCAAATATTATAAATATGTTTTAAGAAATAATTATAATTTCTAACATAACGACTTCTACATATTCTTCTAAATTTCTTCCAAAATAATTTCTTCTAATGTTATTAAAAATTAATTTTTTTAAGAAAAAGTTGAAGTTTGATTTATTTTAAATATCAATTATCATAAGCAAATTAGCAACTTAACTTACACCTAGAAACTTTTTGAACCGAATATAATTTATGCAAATTAAACAAAAATATATATTAGCAACAGAGCCTACTAATAACCCATTTTTTGAAAACTAATATACATTTATGTAGCTCTGAGACAAATAGCTTTTCTGTGGGTTAATATTTCAGAAAAAGATTATTGTTCTTCAATATTACTAATTAATCTTTAATAATTATTATTGTTTATTCATACAATTGGTTTTAACTATAACAATTATTCTATATACTATTATTTTTTAAAGATGAGTAAAATTTATTGCAAAGAAAAATAAATATTTCTGAATGTATTAAATAATCAATTGAGAATGTTTTTAATGTAAATATAATTATAATTTAATAATTAATTTAAATAATTCAAACTTCAAAATCATTCGCTTGTTAATAAGAAATTTTGTTTTTGTTTCTTTTTATCTACAAAAAACAAAATTCATTCTTTCAAAACCTGAATTAAAGAATGGAAAAAAAATTTTCCTCTGTTGAATGACAAGAAATAATTCATATAATTTACTAAATTGTAACTTATATTAATGGCCAAGGGAGCCCGACTTTAGGTCGGTCGGGCGCTAGTCGTGAACTGGGAGGGGAGCCCAGAAAAAAGTTGGCATTGGCAATAAATTAAATGTAAAGAATTTTAACTTTTAAAATATTTTAATTAATATTTAATAATTATTTGCAGAAACAACAAACAGACGACGATTTTAAAGAAGAAAGTGGGAAGATGATACGTGTACAAGTAAGTTTTTTGTTCAGAACGGGTATGTAGCTTATAAAAACATTGAAAATTAGTTAAAATTACCATGTAATTTTACAATAATATTATGGTACACTGAGATAAATGAATGGTTAGAGCAAGTACTTTTTTATTAGTAAAAGCAAACTTTATTCTCCCGTCTATTTAATTAGTAAAATTATTTTATTTAATATTAAATGTTGATTGAAATTTTTTTTAATTTTTATGGAGAACAAAAAAAATTAATTTTAATTAAAATTTTGACTTATATTATATTGACTTATATAATAATTAATAATAATAATAATAATTAATAATAATTAAAAATATATATTTTTATATATTTATATTATATATATATATATATATATTTTGCCTTATATTATTAATAAAATTTCAATTACAATTTTTTACTATTAAATAGAACTGGGTGAATGACAGATCTGTGGTTGTGCCAGTTGGAACTGAACCTATTAACGTAACGAAAAATGTAAACAACACATCACCGTTAAAAAACTCTGTGGAAACCGGAACCTATGTACTAAATACTACATTGGAACGTAACATCGAAGATCCATATGAGTTTACAGAAAGCAGCAGTGAAGTTGATAGTAAGCAGGTCATGACTGTTGAGGAGTTAATGAAAAAATATGATGTGATAACAGGAACTCGAATAACAGATATCACAGTGGAAGAAGACGTCGAATATGTTCATGACCCTGGAAAAATCATGAGTAAAATTTGTAGCCCTCAAAACATGACTATTGAAGAAAATTCATGTTCGTCATTTAAAAGCGTAAGTAAAAGTGCAAATAGATTTTGAGTAAAGATTAATTTCAAGATTTGTTTCAGTCTTCTATAAAGTCCTTTGCAATTCCAATGCAGAACACTTTAAATTTGTCACAGTGGAATGACCAGCAGCAGCAGGAATATAGAAAGAACACACTCTTTAATGATGAAATATTTAATAACAATAGTACCAACTTTAGTTCTGTGAGTTCTGAGTCCTTTGATGATGATAGGGATAAGGATTTTAACATAGATGACTGTTCAGAAAAGAGTTCCTCCTATCTGGATACTGATAACGATGATATTGATGATAATCTTAGCAACATCTGTTGTTCTTTAAATAATGAGGCAACTGAAAATAGTACTGGGAGTAATAATAAAGAACAAATGTCAAACAATGAGAAGACTAATGTAAGAAACTTAAAATTTAAATAACCTTAAAATTTAAAAATTTTAATTTTTAATTTTAATTAAAAAATTTTTTTAGGCAAAGAAAAATAATGAAAAGGAATCATGGTGTCCGTTTTGTGCTATCGACGTTTCATCAAAAAACTATGTAAGACATATGGAAAGATCTCATAAAGAAGAAAAAGAAATTAAAAACATTTTTAGTTTTCCAACCAAAAGTAAGGAAAGGAGGAAGGCTTTCGAATTATTTAGAAAGGCCACGAATTTTTCTTTATATATTAATGGAATTGTGAGACCGCTTAGGCAAACAAATGAAGCGGAAATGTCAGATTATTATCCGTGCATTTATTGCAAAGCGATGATAAAAAGAAGTTTTCTGACGCGTCACTCCACAGCTTGCAGTAAAAAAGGGTTAAATACTAATAAAAAAAATCACCGCAGTTATTTATCGAACTCACAAACATTGGCAGTTTGCTCTATAGATCCAACCAATGTTATTTCCAGATTGGCCGTGAAAGAACAGGTTAGTGTAATAAGCTTTATAATTAATGTTTTATTATTCGTCTATGGACAATTTAACTACCAATTTGAAATTATAATTTTGCATTATAAAATGTTCCACACTTCACATAAGATAATAAAATATATATTTGAAAAAATACAATATTTCTAGGTTTTCAATATAATGAAAGGGGATGCTATATCATATGAAGCTAAAAAAGATCTTCTCATCGTGCAGTTTGGAGAAAATTATTTAAAAAAACATAAAAGGGAACGAAAAGAATATGCTTGCAGTAACAGAATGCGTGAACTTTCTCGTTTGTTAATTGCGTACCGAGAAATTGTCCATGATGATAAAGTTTCGTTTAAAGATATTTTGAAAACCCGAAATGTAGATAATATTATCACAGCTACACGTAAAATATCAGGATACGATCATTTACAAAAAACATTCAATGCCCCCAGTCTTGCAATGCACATGGGCACCTATTTAAAAGATATTTGCGATCTACTGCAACAATTAATTTTGAAAAGAAGCTCTGGTTTTTCCACTTCCTCAGAAGCAGAATGTAATGCATGGTTAAAAGATTTAAAACATTTTAAAAATTTAATTACATCATCATGGAATGTAGAAATATCTTCTCTTGCAAACAAAGATCTACAAGAGAAACGTTGGAATAAACCATTGCTTGTGCCGCTGGTTAGTGACATCAAAAAATTCAGAGATGAAACACTAATACTTGCCAATGAATGTGTAGAGAAGTTTAAAAATTGTATAGACGACGCTATAATTTATAAAACTTTTGTGCACTGCGTTTTGGCTCTGATCATTCTTTTCAATCGAAGGCGAATAGGTGATGTTCAGTATTTAAAAATCCAGGATTACGAGAAGGAGACAATATCAAATTTTTCAGATTTTAAAAGTGCATTGTCAGAATCTGAAAATATATTAACAACAAAGTATAAACGTGTTGTCAATAGCGGTAAGGGATCCAGAGCTGTGGTAATTTTAGTGCCTGAATTGTTACAAAAATTTATGAAAATATTGTTGGAAGAGAGAAAGAAATACATTTCAATTGAAAACGAATATGTATTTGCATTACCTAGCAGTAAAATTAAATGGGGGCAAGGTGATGTGGCAATTCGATATTTGACACAAAAAATTGAATTGCAATATCCTGAAGCAATGACAAGCAATAAGCTTAGAAAACAAATTGCAACCGTGGCACAGATACTAAACATGTCGAAGGAAGATACAAGACAATTCTCTAAGTTTATGGGCCACACTGAAAAAACGCATGCAGAATTTTATGAGTAAGTAAATATTTTAACTAAGAAATGTTCTACATATATAACGCGATTTAAAGAAAGGGACCTTAGAAGCAAACGAATTATAGGTTATGTTTATGCATGATTTATCTTTCTTAAAAGTTCCTCTTTTATTATGTGAAGTCAAAATTAGTTTTTATTGAATATTTTGAATGAAATGAAGACTTTAACATCAGTGGTTTGTATTAATAGTTAAATATCTTTCTGTAATTGCACTCCAAATATTACAAACATAATCTAAAACATTTTGATTCTAAGGTACCTTTCATTAGATCGCGTCACATATATTCAAGCAAACATCATATACTGTTTTTAATTTCAAGGTTGCCAGTTGACATCTATCAAACAGCTAAAGTTTCCAAGCTGCTAATGATGATGGAAAAAGGATCACTTCCATTAGAGTTTAGAGGAAAATCTTTGACAGAAATTAATTTTGACGAAAATTCGGAATATGCTGAAGAATTTGCTGAAGGTAAAAAACACTTTTTATTGTACTGATTATACTAAAGCTAATTCTAACATTTTTGATCTTGATTTAGAAAGGGAAACTTCCGCATTAACTTCTGATGGAACCAGGATTGACAAGCAGGACAGTGAAGGTAATATTGTGCTTAAATTTTTATTTAATCTCCTTTGAGAAAAATGTTTAAAAAGTCATATTTTCAGATTTCCAGTTAGATGAGAATATGAATCTCGACTCATCTGACTTGACACAATCAAAGAAACAAAAAATTAAAAAATCTGGTAAGTTAAGTGAAACTTTATGCGAACGCGAAACTAGAAAAAATATAGTATATTAAGAAACAAAACTAAAAATTTTCTTTTAAGGAGAAAGCTGTAATATTTTTTTCTTTTCAGGTTGGTCAAAACATGAAATAGAGGAAATAAATTGTCATTTTACGGCATCAATGCAGAAAGGAAATTATCCATCATCACAAGAAATTAAAATCTTTGTTAAAGAAACGGGAAGCAAGAGAAGTGTGGCTCAAATAAAAGCAAAAATCCAACATTTATTTAAAAAAAAAAAATAGTTTTTATGTAAATAATTCTGCATTTCACCCGGCGAGCGTAAGGTTAAAATTTGTAACACCGAGTGTAAGGCTGGGTATTATTCACCCTGTAATGACTTTCTATTTAGATATTAAAAATGGCTCTAAATCCATTAAAGTTTTTTATTAGAATTGTTTAATATTAAGTTTACAACTTATAGAGCTCACCATAATAGCAGATGAGTAATATACCTAGGATTATTTGTTTCAGCTGGGCTGCGTGAAAAGTTAGTAAATAACAATAATAATTTGTTTAAACAATGTTGATCGAATAAATCCAGGCATATTTTTTATCTGTTATTATAGTTAACTCGATAAATTGCAAAGTTGGGAAAAAACTGCATCCTTCTAGGTGCAATGCGGTAAAAGTTAGTAAGTAACAATAATAATTTATTTAAACAATGTTGAACTAATAATTCCAGGTACAATCTTTATCTGCTATTATAGTTAATTCGATAAATTGCAAAATTTCGAAAAAACCGCATCTTTCTAGATGCGATGCAACAAATGTTAGTGAATAACAACGATAATTTGCTTAAACAATTGTTGAACTAATAATTACGGGTCCATTATTTATCTACTATTATGGTTAGCTTCTTAAATTGCAAAATTGGGAAAACACTGCATCTTTTTAGGTGCACTGGGATAATAGTTAATAATAATAATAATTTGTTTAAAAAATTGTTGAACTGATGATTCTGGGAACGCTATTTGTTCACTATAATAGTTAACTCTATAAATTGCAAAATTGGAATAAAACTGCAACTTTCTCGGCACACTGTTAAAAAAGTTAGTGAATAATAAATTGTTTAAACAAATGTAGAGTGAGTAGTAACATTAGTCAAATATAGTATTTGTCTGTTATAAACAATTATAAAAAATTACCTTAATGATTTTATGGCTTTTTTACAACATACAAATAAAAAACATTTAGTTTACTCCTGGTTGGTTTTAGAATTTGTGCACATGCATTAACAATAGTTATAAATAAACAATAAGAGATGTAAAAAAACCAATTGTTTAATTTAAGCCTTACTCTCGGTGGGTTAATATTCATTACGGATGTATTTTGTAGCATTTGTACATTATTTTATATGCATTACTTTAATTATCATATTATGCTAAGCTAAAATAAAATATTTGTAGCGGTTTCCTCAAAAATCATTTCTCTTTTAAATATGGAGGATTTTATGATAAATGTAGCACTCGAAGAGATTCGCATTCAATAATAATTAATAAAAATCAATCAGTAATAATTTTACTGAATTCTGTATTAAATTTAGAAATTATACTTCATCGTAAGTTTTTTATTATTTTATCCTTCAAACGTATGGTAATTAAATTCATAAAGTCGAAAATTATCCTTACGATAACAAGGACTGTGTCTGTTACATTAGGGAATTTAAAGAAAATTTAAAAAGTGCGAAAATGCATAATAGTTGTTAAAAACAATCTTTAGGAATTCTAAAGATTCTATAGTCCATGAATCTAAGTACCTTTAAAACAGTATAAGTAAAAATTATTACTACGTTCAAATCTCGTAGATATGACAACCTTGTTGGAGGTGAGTACGTATGGCAAGTAACTCTCTTCTATATATACAGGTGAGGTAGCTTCGTATGTGCTATACCTACGAATTATATATAAAAAATTTTTTGAAAATTCTTACCCCTCTTTTGAGAATCGTATTAAGAAAGTCCCCCTTAACATAAATATGTTTAATTTTTTAAAATATTTTAACGAGAAATAGCGGAGGCGACAACGTGAGTCAGACTACACGGAGGTGACAAAGTATAGTCTATACATATATATATATATATATACCAAAAAGGTTATATCTAGGGATGTAACATTAAAACTCACATAAACATCCAGTTTATTATTATACTATTTCATTGCTTATAATAAAATTACATTTTATAATTTTTGGGGCCCCTAGTTCGCCGGGGCCCCGGACAATCTAACCCTCCAAACCGTCTATTGCTACGCCACTGGATAAGAAACCTGCTCAAAACGATGGCCGGTGCACGGACGGTCAACGCACGGCGCACGAGCAGACAGCGCACGGCGCAACAAAAAATTCAAAATCTCCGGTTGTAATTGAAAATACAAATTTTTTTTCGGGAATATAAAGATGTAGGTTTATTGTATCTTACATATAAATTTCATTAAAATCCTTGCTTTAGAAAGCATAAAAACACTAATTGTTTATAAAATTGTTATTAAAAATTTAAAAAATTTTTAAATTTTTTTTCACAATTAAGTTTATTTAAAATAGTGGATATTCAATGACTACCAAAAAAATTGACAATAATTTCTAGCAAAACAGTAATGAGTTATTAATTTTTTCTTAAATAATGCAAAAAATTTTTATTATAAATAAAAGGTATAAATATTTAAAATTTTGAAAAACGGTTAAAAGTGTTTTTTTGGTTTGCTGTGAACTAAAGATTTTCATAAATGTTTTGACTTTTTCAAAACTATAAAAAAATTTTATTCACGGTTGACGCGTTTTGACTTCTGCGTGCGCATTCAAGAATATGGTGGGGTTGCAGTTATATAAGGCGAGATTCAAGCTATTAGATCATTTATATTTCAGGTTCTTGAACTAGCAGTATGTATAACAATAAGTTGCCTATTTTAACATTTCTCTTTCAGCTATTTTTCTAAATTTACATTTTAGGTGTATTTCTAAGATTTTTCAGCTTTATTTACAGGTTTTTTTTGTTTCCATTTCAGGTTTATTTCTAAGTTTTTTCAGCTTTATTTATATGTTTTCAGGTTTATTTCGAAGTTTTTTTAGATTTATTTACAGTTTTCCTGTTTTCATTTCAGGTTTATTTCTAAGTTTTTTCAGCTTTATTTACGGTTTTTTTTGTGGAAAGTTTTTTTCAGCTTTGTGTTAGTTTTTAGATTATTTTTATTATTACAGATTCATTTTAATTACAGTTCTTTGTTTTCTCTTCTTTTGTTTAAAGTTTTCTTCCAGTTTCAAACGTCTTAAAAATAGATCTAGAAAAAGTCAACTCTGTTGGGCTTTTTGAAGGTTACCTGCCGACGAAGCTGCTCGCGGAATTGATGAAAGATGGACTGTACTACGTCTCAAAGATGAAGAAGGTCCAGGCGAAATATAGTCCTAGGATCATAATTGAGATTGATGCTGATTTCGTCACATACCTACCAACGAGATTCATCAAACTCTTCGAGCAGGAACCAACCACCTTGGAAATGATGAAAGAAGCTGCGATATCGAAGAAACTTCAAATGAAGTATCTTGGAGGACCGTAAAATGTTGTCGAATTTAAATTGTTATAATTTTTGTTTAAATTATATAAAAAAATTTATATATATATATATATATATTTTTTTAAAAATTTTGATAAAATATACACACAAAGTTTTACCTACACTACCATCGGGAATTATCGGTACGGCTGCACGCGCACGGCCCAAAAACATACCAATCATTAAATCAGGATTTTTTTGCTAACACAAATGTCAGAAAATTAACAAATATACCATTCGAAAGATAATTTAATTCTACGATTAATAATACATAACTGAAAATTTTAATAATTTATACAAAGATTGCAGCAATCGACAAATTTGAAAAAAAAATTTAAAAAATAAAATTTTTTTGGAAATTTTTTCAACTCATACACATTTTTTAAAAATTGTAGCAAAAATTTGAAACTTATATAGGTATGATCATTCAAGTCTCATCTTTAATTTAAGACCAAAATAGTTTAAAAATCTTATTTGGTTCGTGAGATATCATTATAAACGTCCGAGCATGTTTTTTGACAAATGCATTGAATTAGTCGATTTTAAACGATTTTTGGCTGAAAATGCTCGGCCGTTTATAACTATATTTTGCTAACCGAATAAGATTTTTAATCTCTTTTGGTCTTAAATTAAAGATGAGACTTGAATGATCATACCTATATAAGTTTCAAATTTTTTCTACAATTTTTAAAAAATGTGTAGGGTTTGAAAAAATTTCCAAAAAATTTTATTTTTTAAATTTTTTTGTCAAATTAGTTGAAGTAACGTTAAACCAATGTTAAAGTAAAGTTGAAAGAAGTTAAAGTAACGTTAAAATTAGTTAAAGTAAAGTTGAAAGAAGTTAAAGTAACATTAAAGTAACGTTTAAATTAGTTAAAGTAAAGTTGAAAGAAGTTAAAGTAACGTTAAAGTAACGTTAGAATAAGTTAAAGTAACTTAAAATTAGTTAAAGTAAAGTTAAAAGAAGTTAAAGTGACGTTTAAATTAGTTAAAGTAACGTTAAAATAAGTTAAAGTAATGTTAAAATAAGTTAAAGTAACTTTAAACTAATGCTAAAGTAACGTTAAAAGAACTTAAAGTAACGTCAAACTAACGTTAAAATAAGTTAAAGTAACTTTAAACTAATGTTAATGTAACGTTAAAATAACTTTAAGATTAGTTAAAATAAGACAAGATAAGTTAAAATAACATTAAGGTAAAGTTAAAATGTGACATTGCTTTGATAAATCACACAATAGTTGCATAAAAAGATTGTAAGAAGAAAAATTGATAGTCAAATTTACTATTTTTATAGACGTAGGTGATGATCTTGGATATTCAACTATAGGACCAAACCATCTAGACATTTAAATTTAGTATCTTATGATAGTCAAAGTTGCACACTAACCGTCAATATCCAAGATATTCACATTTGACTATCCTAGATAATAAACACATGTTGCTTTGTTTTATACAAATCTAAATTAATCAATAAGAAATATTTAATGATAAAAGCTATTTGTATTAGAATATATAATATATATATATATATATATATATATATATATATATATATATATATATATATATATATATATATATATATATATATATATATATATATATATATACAGTACCGTCCGCAATTGTCAGTCCACCCATTTTTAAAGGAATGACAAAAATTTTTTAACATAAAATTCATGAAAACTAAAATTTTTTTTGGTTTATATTTTGAAAGACGATAAAATTTTGAAAAGAATAAGACCTTACAGAAGTCATTTGGCCAAAATTTGTAGAAGATATTCTTAAAAATCGTCATTTTCAATGTTTTACAAAAATTTAAATAACTTCTAAAATAATGAACGCTTTTTAATAATCTTAGGCTTATTTTAAAGGTCTTTTTCTACGGAATAAGAATTAATTATAGGCATTAACCTGTCATTTTTAACTTGGAATAAGCATGACGTCAAAATTGGACAAAAAATTGGAAAAATTTGAAATCAATTTTTTGTACTAAAAACTATTCTAGAACATATATAAAACATGATATGGTGTAGATTTTTCAAGAAAATTTAATAAAAATATATGTTTGAATTTCAAAAATTATTTTTCTTTTAATAATATTATTTCAAATTTTTTGAATTTTTTTGTCCAACTTTGACGTCATGCTTATTCCAAGTTAAAAATGACAGGTTAATGCCTATAAGTAATTCTTATTCTGTGGAAAATGGTCTTTAAAATAAGCCTAAGATTATTAAAAAGCGTTCATTATTTTAGAAGTTATTCAAATTTTTGTAAAACATTGAAAATGACGATTTTTAAGAATATCTTCTACTAATTTTGGCCAAATGACTTCTGTAAGGTCTTATTCTTTTCAAAATTTTATCGTCTTTCAAAATATAAACCAAAAAAAATTTTACTTTTCATGAATTTTATGTTAAAAAAATTTTGTCATTCCTTTGAAAATGGGTGGACTGACAATTTCGGACGGTACTGTATATATAATATATAAAATATGATATATAAGTTAAAATTAACTTAATAAGTAACATTAAAGTAACGTTATAATTAGTTAAAGTAACTTATCTTGTCTTATTTTAACTAATCTTAAAGTTATTTTAACGTTACATTAACATTAGTTTAAAGTTACTTTAACTTATATATATATATATATATATAAAGTTATTTATTAATATTATATTATTATCTTATATATTATATATTCGTTACTCATATTATATTTAATATATGAGGCATTCTCTAACATAAAAACCACCCTAAAAAATGTTCTTTTTGGAAATAAATTATGTTAAAGTATTCATAAAAACAAGTATGTATAGTAGGTTTTTAGGTCTGTGTAATGCGTGGTTGCCATGTTATCAGGGGCTCAATTTTTTTCAGTATAATTTTCAAATGGCAATATTTTTTACTTATATCAATGAATTT